TTTTTTTTTTTTTTTTTTTTTTTTTTCTTCCCAGCAATGGGAACAGAGCAGCTCTTTGTGGGTTATTATTTTCTTTTCAGAGATTTTTTTTTTTTTTAAATCTTTCTCAGATAAACTTCTTTTTTTTCATTTTTTTTAAAAAAATACTGTTCTTAGAAGCTTTCAGTACTAGTTAACCGTAGTTTTTCTTCGGTAGTATCGAAGGCAAACGGGATTTTAAATGTGCTGGACTCTTGCATGGAGCTCGGGGAGGGGGGACGGGGGGGTTTGGGCTCCAGCTTGTGCCGGTGGATCCGCAGTGCTTTGCTTTGCTGGAGTTTCAGAGCACGGGCTGCACTAACGCTACCTGCTCCAGCGTTGCACGGGGTTTGTGCCCGAGGTCCCTTCGAACGCGAGGCGTTACTTGGTTGGTGAAAGGAGGAATTACCCCCATGGCCAAAAGGTACAGCTGGCCTTAGAGAGCGGCCGCGCTGGGATGCAAAGCCGGAGCCGTCGCTTCGAGCCCGTTTCATGTGAGGACACTCGGAGGGTCCCTGATGCTGGGGACGGTACCCCCAAGCCGGGGCAATGGGCTGGGGGGCTCCGGCTGCAGGAGGGGCTGGGCTGGGGCTCCCCCTGCCCCGCTTTGGATTTAGGGGAGAAAAATAAGGAGACAACTTGATAGGCGGCTCGCTGCAGTACATCGGTTTGTTTTATTGGGGCTCAAATATCTGGCTTAATTTGGAGATAAGCCTCGTTTTGTTGGAGGATAAATCTGTTGAGAAGGGGTTTAACTGTTGAAATGCTCCCTCTTTCTGGTGCAAATGGCAAGATTGCTTTTCAAAGTGCTTTTTCCTGGGAGCTGTTGCTCCGGCAGAATCCTGTATTTATTTCAGGCAGAATGGCACATTGTTTTATAAATATCTTTTCTGTAGTTTCAACATAGCTGCTGGGTTTTGTGTTTCTTATATAATGCTACCCGAGATCTGTCTGACTATCTGACTGGGTTAACGGTTGGACTCAACGATCTTAAAACACCTTTTCCAACCTAAACAATTCCGCGATTCTATATCACGTTTGCTTTGCTGTTCACTCCTCTCCCATTACCGTTCAGATATTCCTGCATAAAGTAAAGCCCCCAGGGGAATAGATCAGTGGTGCTTATTTAAACAGACCGCAACTTGAAGAAAATACTCGCGTTTTTGGAATATCCTTTGCCATCCACCAAAAAGCATTTCCAATGTTATTTGAAAACATTGATAAGTAATTTTTGTCAGCGACTGCTTTTCCGCGTCAGCTCTCGGAGCTTAGCTTTGAGCCTTTGATGTCGGGTGAGGTGGGTTCCTCTGCTTCTGCCTGCTTTGGTGAACTGTCTAAAAACGCTGTGCCTCTCTCCCTGCCTTCTCCCTTTTTCAGATGTGCCCTACTTTGGATATTCCTGCATTGAATGTCTGAGGAGCTCCAGCCGATCCTGAGCCATGTCGCAGATGTTGCACATAGAGATTCCCAACTTTGGGAACACCGTTCTGGGCTGTCTGAACGAGCAGCGGCTGCTGGGGCTGTACTGCGATGTCTCCATCGTGGTGAAGGGCCAAGCCTTCAAGGCACACCGGGCGGTCCTGGCCGCCAGCAGCCTCTACTTCCGAGACTTGTTCAGTGGGAACAGCAAAAATGCCTTTGAGCTGCCAGGTACCGTCCCCCCAGCTTGCTTCCAGCAGATCCTCTCCTTCTGCTACACCGGGAAGCTGACCATGGCGGCGAGCGAGCAGCTGGTGGTGATGTACACGGCGGGCTTCCTGCAGATCCAGCACATCGTGGAGAAAGGGACGGACTTGATGTTCAAGGTCAGCTCTCCCCACTGTGACTCTCAGACCACCATGATCGAAGACCCCAGCTCGGAGCCGCAGAGCCCCTGCAACCAGCTGCAGTCGGCCTCGGCGCCCTACGTCATGTCCCCCTCCATGCCCATCCCGCTCCTCACACGCGTCAAACACGAGAACCTCGAGCTGCAGGCAGCTGCCCTGCCCGGCCTGCCCGGCAAGCGGCCCCTCGAGCCCGGGGCCCGGGAGGGGGCCGCCGGCAGTGGCTCCAACACCGGTCCCCTGAAGCTCTCCCGTGTCTCCTACTACGGGATGCCCAACCTGGCCACCCTCATCCCCAACGTCCAGCAGGTCCAGTACTCGCAGGGGGAGCGGACGAGCCCCGGCGCCAGCAGCATTCCCACCACCGACAGCCCCACCTCCTACCACAACGAGGAGGATGAGGAGGACGACGAGGCGTACGACACCATGGTGGAGGAGCAGTACGGGCAGATGTACATCAAGTCCTCAGGAGGCTACTCTGGTAACGGACAGTCTCTGTCCTTGGGTTTTCCGCTCTCATTCAGTGGTTGCTCGGTCCTTCTCCAGCCAGCACGGGTAGTTTTGGTCTTGTTCATCAGGCTTTTGTCTTCAGGGGCTTCGTTGGTTTATTTACGTAGTGCGGTGCACGTGGTGGGCTCGGTGCTGGTGCCTGGGTATGGCGTGAGCAGGTGCCCTCGTGCCATCGCTCGTGGGCCGTGTCCCCGGCTGAGAGGCTCTTTAGGAAAGAGAGACTGTGGCCTCCCCCACATTCAGCTTAGCCCTTTGGGTTTTGGGTGGCCTCACAACAGGTTACACAACCTGTGCAGTGGTGACACCGTCCCTTGGCGAGGGTCATCCGAGAGGGACAGTCGTCCGTGGGGAGGGAAGTGTCAGCCCTTGCCGACCAGGCAGGGCCAGGGTGGTCGGTCTGGGAGTTAGTCTTCAGTGAGGTGCAAGGCACGTTCCCTCTGTCCTGGCTTTTTAGAATAAAATTTTTTTAAAAGTAGATGAACGTATGACATATGGAGGAAGGGAGAAAAACCTGAAATAAATCATTTTTATAAATGTTAATTGGGAATATCCACAAAAAGGAAAAAAGGACTTTTCTGCCCACTGCCTGAAGTGACCCCCCCTTTCCTTTGCCAGCCTTGCCCAGCACATCGCTGTCAAAAAGGGAAAAGCAGTTTGGGGGCCTCTTGATAATCTTTTATTTCACCTTATCTCCCCTATTAGCTGAGTCCCTGGGCATGCCATAGACAGAGGAGGTGCTTTCACTTTGGTGATGCTCGGCCGGGAGCTGCTGGCTGAGCCCCCGGGTGGGCACAGGGGCACGAGGCTCCTTCCCTCTCGCCCCCTGCGCAGGAGAGGGCTTCTTGGGGTGTGCACCCCCAGCCCCTCGGCACCTTGCAGGGCTCAGAGCCCGCTGAGGAGCAGGGGCAGGCTGGAGGTGCGGAGCCGGGGGCTCAGGATCAGAGCAGGAGATGCCCGGGGGGGTCGCTGGGTGCCCACATCCCGGTCAGGTGAAGCTCGCAGCGTCCCGGTCGGAGGCTCAGCCTCGGCGCTGTGGCTTCCCTGTCAGAGCTGCAGGTGTTTGTGGCAGCAGCTTTGATCCGCGGGTGCTCCCCGAGGAGGGACATCTTCCCCCCGGCTCTGGCTGCGCAGAGCATCCTCTTGCCTGGAGCCGCTTTCCCCGTTACAGTTCTGAGCTGAAATCGCTGGACTAATTTTGCAAATATTTAACTCTCGTTTGTTGAAGAGTTGGCATGCTTTCCTCAAAGCTGTTTGATTTTATTCTCAAGCAAAGGAGATTTGACAAATATGACCATTTCTGCTACGTAAAGCCAGGCTTTCCCTGGTCCTGAGAACAGTCTCATCCCCACACGCTGTCCCATCCCATCCCAAAGAGCAGGAGCCCAGTGTCCCCTTGGCATATCCCCCTGCCAGGTAACAAGCAGATAAAAGCAATATTTTCCAAGCGTTTTTGCCAAGCCATGTGCAAAAGAGGGAAGGCGATGTTACTATTTTAATATTAGAGATATTCGCTGAGAAAAGTGGACAAGCTGGTCGTAGAAAATGAGTCTCAAAAGCCTGTCTGCTCTCTCCGCTGTGCTGCAACTCCCAGCAGTTGGTACCGGGTGAGTGAGGAGGAGTGGGATCAGGGAGTGGGGACAAGGTCGGGGTCTCCTCCAAGGGCGCCCACCTGGCAGGAGCAGGACCCTGTGCCCCAGCTGCTGTTAGAGTCAGACCGCCGAGAAATTGGGCTGTTTTCCCCCACACTGGTTTTGTTTTTATTTTGCTTTGCGCTTCCCTGCTGTAAGCATGCAGTGAGTAATGTGGGTTTGCCTTCAGCGCCGGGGCTCTCAGCATCGTTCCTCAGAGCAGTGAGATTATACCCTTGGACACGGTGTTTTCTTTCCCTGTCATGGGGCCAGTTCATGCAGTAACAGAACAAAATAAATTCCGAAGGTGAGGGCAGGACCAGCCCCAGGACCACGCAGGCAGCAGCTATTAGGCTGTACCTAATTCTTGTAGCGTGGTGCAGTCGTCCCGATTGGAAAAGTGAAAATACAAGCAGCTTGCTTGGGCATTTCTGGAGATGCTGCAGCCATCCAGCCCCCGCGCTGGGCATCCCACAGCCAAGTTTTCCTGCTCGGTTTCTGTAGGGGGAAGGCTTGAACCGTGTCATGATGCCGAGGCAGGGTCCCTTCGGGGAGGAGGCAGGTCGGGAGCGCAGCGCTGCCCCGGTCCCGCTGTAAGGCTCTAATATACCACATTTCTGCTAAAATACCTCTTCCACACCAGCACATTTCAAGGGAGTTTCCTGTTTTAAATAAGCCAGCTATAGTATCAGGCTTCCTGGAAAAGAGGGCGCACAAAAAAGAGATTAAAAAATATAAAACCTAAGCTATTCCATTATGGTTTGGACTTGTACAGCTAAATGTGTTTTAATTACTCGGGATAAACTGTACCCTCAAAAGGTGCAGAATAATAAAACCATAAGATGGAAGAGAGAAAGCCAGCTAATCCTGCTCCTGGCATGTAGATCCCGACAGCCTTACAAAGGCCTGGGGGAGGGGGGAGCCCTTTAAAATAGTGATTGCCAAGGTTTCCAAGAGCCCTGTTTGTAAAAACAAAAACAAAGCCAAAGAGGAGTGCAGCAGATGAAGCCCTGAATTTCAGAGAGGGCTGCTTTTTTTTTTTTTTTTTTTTATCCCCTCCTTTTTCTCCACTTTGTCCTTCCCCAGCTGAAGCATTGACTCAACTAATGCTGGCAAGTGTGTGGTGGGATGCTGGTGGCCCATGTGCTTCGCTGGCCTCGAGCATCACTTGCCTCGAGCATCACTTGCCTCGAGCATCACCCACCTGGAGCATCACCCACCTGGAGCATCACCACCCACTGCTCCCAAGGCCGGGGCAGCGTGGGGCAGGAGGGTCATGAAACTTCTTCTTGCCCCAATGCTGTGGTTTTTTTATTTATTTTTGTTCGTCCCTTTTTATAGTCAGAACCACCCCAAATCCTCAAAACTGAGACAAGGAGCACATCATCACCTTGGCTGAGGGTTTGATGGTGGGAGAGGGAGTGAGGAGAAGACCTTGGTGAGTGATGTGCCTCCTGCAGTGGTGGCACTGGTGTGGTGTACCGGGACAAGTGTTGGACCTGCAAAAGAGGCAGCAGCTAAATTAAAAGATAAGCCCAGTCTTAAACAGAGACCAATGGGAGGGTTAAGTTTAGGTGTTGGTAGACGGGGTGGCAGCTTGCAGAGGGATTTAGGAAAAGGTGTCTCAGCTCCCAGTGGCCTCCGGCCGCCCTCGGTGGCCACAGTGTCACCGCCACCATCCCCCTGCCCGCCTGCTGCTGCGGCAGGCTGGGAGCATCGCGCTAAAATGGCTCCTTATTCTGTAACTAGGTCTGGTTGGGGAGAACATGTGGGCCTTGAGGACACGAGTGAGACTTAATGAGGTTTCTAGCATCTGATCTGAGGAATGCACAACTCCAGAAAATATTAAACAAAAGCAAAGTATTTTTATCCTTGTTAATTACAGCGTCGTGGGCCTGATCTGAAGTGGGTTTCAGCAGGACTTGCAGATGCTCGGCGTTTTTCTGCACTGAACCGCGTTCTTGTCAGTCAGCTTGCTGCTTAGCAGATGCAGTTAATTTAATTTTGACAGGCGCAAGCGAAGTTGTGCGAGGGTCCGTCCTCCTCCCCTGCTCCTGCTGCGCCAGTTTGCAGGGGAGAGGAAAAATCTTTATGCAGCAAATGGCTGGAATGTAAAGGCTGGACTTGAAAGTTATGAAATCCCGAACTGACAAGAGCACACTTCATTAAAAATTCATCTAAAATAGCCATTATAGAATAGTTGTGGTAATTAGCTGAGAGAATAGTTTTCTCTCCTGGCCTCTGATTCCTGACAGTAAGGAAAGAGGGCAAGAAACAACCCAGAATCCGTAATGAGCGGCTCCGGCGGAGCCCGCACGGCATCCCAAACCAAGCCTGGGAACAACACGCTGCAACCATTTAACTCGCGGCTCGCGACGCCAGATAATTGCAGCCGTAATAAAGTAGCTGGTTCTAACTGCGGGAGTGGGGATCCAAGCCTGCGAGGCCCGTGCGGCGCGCGGGGGGATGCTCGCGCGCAAAGAGCGAGCGGGATCTTAGGAAATCAAGTGGTCAGGGGAGGACGCCCTGTTTATTCACCGGAGCACTTTTCCTTTGTTGTTTGGGTTTTTTTTTGAGGGTTTCCAACAGCCCCGCTGCTGGAAGTGGCAACGAGAGGCAGCCAGTGCTGGCATGAGGGACCGTGGCGGCGCGGGGAGCGGTGCTGGCCGCGGCGCTGAGCAGCCGCGGGAAGGCGAAGCCCCACGCCGGGGGTGCACAGCCTCTGCCCTTTTTTGGCGTTAAACTTCCAGTCCCGGTTTCCTCACCGTAAAACACAGATGTTTAATTTTAGGCTGGCAGATGTTTCACTCCTGGCTGAGATCTGAAGCGAAGGCAAGATAGGGGTATTTATAAACCACTAATATTTTTCCTATACTAATTCCAGATTACCTCCCTGTATAAATAGGTCACAAATCAAATCTCTACATTCCAGTACGTTGATATAAATGTACTATTTGTAAAACGTAAACTATCCCAGTTGGGACTATATCATATATCTGTCCCTCTCTGCGTGCGTGTGTCCTCTGTGGTCCAGGTTTACGCAGGCAGGCAGATGCTGGCGATGCCGGGGCTGCGCAGGGATGCTATTTTTGGGGCAGTCCCACTGCCAGTGGAAAATAGGCTAATGGGATAAAAATGTTTGTAAAAATATTGCTATTTGAAAAAAGAAACTTCTTGATGTGTAGAGAGGAGGGGAGAATGATCCCTCTGTTTGCGTACGTGGTTGGCTGGTGGTAGAGCAGCTGGAGATGGTTTCGTAAACCGTTGTGGTGGACCAGGGCTCGTGACCTGTGGTTTCATGTTGGGGCTCTTAAATTTTGGTTGAGGGTCCATCAGGCTGATCTTTCTGTATTTCAGAATCCCGTTCCTAAACCAGAATTAGTTGTTTCTTACCCACAGGTGTACATTGAAGTTTATATGAAGTCAGTGGTCAAGAAGAGAACCCAAACTGGTGGGAACTGGGGGTTCATGAGTCTTTTTGAAGCCCTGGTGTTTGGATTGTCAGGAACTAAGGAGATAAGTGAATACTGGTGCCAGGTGTGTGGCAGTTCCCAGTGCAGTTCCCAGCACTACCAGACCCCAAGGCACTCGCCCAAGCAGCTAGTTGCCCATCACCAATGAGGGTCAACGGGAGCTGTGTGGGCTCAGCATCTCTGGTCCCAGACATGCTGGGCAGGACATGCAGCCATCCTGGCGTCACCAAAACCATCGTGGGCTCAGCCAGAGGGTGGTGTGACAGACCTCTGAGCCGGACAGCGTGTTTTAGGGACAAGGAGTTCACGTGCCCCCAACATCACACAAAGCCTGGAGCTGTGGACCACTGGTAATTCCCACAACTCCAGCTTTTCCCCGAGTGTGGACTGGTGAGTTGGTTTGAGGCTGCTTCTTCAGCCAGAAAACCCAGGATATTGCCCATTCTGGACCACTTGTTGCCAGCTGCAGCGTCCATATAAGTTTGAGATGAAAGCGTATATCAGAATAAATAAAATACACCAGCGTTTGGCTGGCAGCTCTCATTGCTGCCTCTGTAATGATTTCCTGCCCCTCTCTGCTAGCTGGTAGGCTTCTTTCTTGGTCGAGAACAAAACTGTATTAAACAATACTTCACATTGTTTGCCCTTTCATTCAAAGGGAAGGAGCCGCTGCCCTCTGAAGATACAAATTAATTAGAAGCAAATACTATCCTGTTCTTCGGAGCATAAAGGCCAAACAGACTGGCTTTCTTTGAAAACATGGGACCAAAGTGTCTCTTGTATCCTGCTTCTTTACATAACCGATTGCTATCTGCTGAATTGAGGTGGCACTGAAAGGCCTAAATCTGTGGTCGTTTTTGTTTAGTATCATTGAATAACGCTTTAATGGAAACAAAGTCCCCCCACCAAAAAAAAAAAATTATTCATGCCCATGTTTAATAAGAGATTTATAGACAGCAAGCCAGGCAGGACAGATGTAACCAAAATAGCATAGTGGATTGAGTTATGCTTGGTCTTTTTAGCCTGAATTTTAGTTTGTTTTATGAAGTATTTGATTTCACAGGAAGAAATGTAAACTTCTCGATGGCTTCATGTGTAGGAAGTGAAATGTCTTCAAAAGCAAAGAATTTCTTCAAGGCAGGATTGTCACCAGCCAGCGTGGCAGCGTTGTCTTCCTGAAAAGCTGCTTTTCTTTCAGGGAACAGGTTTGACACCAAATCCTTCAGAATTTCTCCAGGAAGGTAGCAGGAACGCAGTGTTTACGCTGATCTTGCCTCGTTACTGCTACCTTAGGATCTCTTTGGCCCCCCAATTTTTTCTTTTTTTTTTTTTTTTTTGAAGGTTTGCCTATGGAAGGTGGTAGAGCAGGCAGGTTTGTCCTTGTCCGCTGTAGCTGTTTGCCACTTGGATGTTGTAGGAATTTAATTTCTTCAAGTGACAGCAGTCTTGATGGAGAAGAGGGCAGGAGGAAGGTGTGGCTGGTGGCTGAGCAAGTCATCTCTCTTCTGTTCCCATTAGAGCGGTATTGGGTCACAGCCTGCGAGGACCTTCTGCCTCTCCTGCTCTGAACTCTGTCTCATTTAGGGTATTGATTGCAACTCCTCTCCCTGGAGACCTGCAGCCTTTATATTGCTTAAGATATAACTGGAGGCCTCTAAGAAACTTTCTGAGAATCCCTATCGGTCTGCCCAGCTTCCCTTCAGCAGCTTAACACCCGCCGGTTTTTAGGCGGGGATGAATATCGTGGGTGCTTTTGACCCCAACTCATGAGTTCAAAGGAAAAATGAAATATTAAAAATGCAGTTTGACACGACCTGCATGGAGGGTTGTGCTTGTGAGGGGCTGTGATGGTTTTCCTGGAGCGGCGGCTCTGCTGAGAGCCCGGCGCTGTGGAGCTCTCGCCCTGACGACCTGCCCGGAATGAGCAGGTCGTGTAAAACAGCCTCATCCTCACCTGTCCTGTTGCCTGATGGCTCAGGGATGTACGTTGAGCACAAAAAGCTGGTGCCAAATCCAGTTTTACCCCTAATAGCCTCATTCACCTTGCTTTTGTTGCTGCTTTTGGGGACCTTGGACATCTCGGTCTGATTTCTGGGATTTATGGGCAGAACGATAGCTCATACGTGGCATATAGATAATTTTAGCTTTTAGTTCAGCCCCTGTGTGACCAGCAGAGGACTCTGGGGGGCAGCTGACTGTGGTGTCCCTTCCTGCTGCTTCCTCTCCCCTCCAGATTTGTATTTATTTTGCGGTGCCCCTTGTGCTGCAGCCTGCCTTGGCGAGAACGCCTTGCCAGAGCCAGAAAGCCTGCGGAGGACAGCAGAGTGGAAACCCTTGCTGGGTGTTGGTTCCCCCATACCCAGTGCCCCTCTACTTTTGATTTGTTTAAGCTGGGAAACACTAGTATTTAATGGGATATACTCTTCTTATCACTCTTCGAAAGCATCAGAAATACGGCAGGTCTTTGAGGCGCTTCCTTGGTGCGAGATGACTCCCGTCTCCAAGGAGAAGGGTGCCTGGGTGCTTGGTGCTGTTAAACAGGGAAATAATTGCAGTTGGTGAAAATTCTGTACGTCAGGGGAACTGCGCATCAGCACTACAAAGCCCTGCCACTTCGCACAGATCATCGGGCTGTGACGGCGAGAGGAGTTAGTTTAAAAACATCACGTGAATTGTTCTGCCGCCGCTTGGTCCCCAGTTGCTGAAGGAAACGTTGCCGTGCCACGGCACGGCTCCGCGAGCAAGGGGCATCCTCGTGGTGTTCTGAGTTTTTAGGGAAGGAGGGAGCGATGAGGGAGGGATGCTCCCAGCCCCGTGCCTGCGATAGGATGCCACGGCACAGCACGGCGTCGCGGGGCATGTCCTAGTTAGAACACTGCTCCCATTGTACGGGAGTCATCGCCCTTTGGTTACTGCAGCAACAAGTCTGCAAAACTTGTTATTTTATCTAGAGAGAGGAAAAGTGGCCCCCTGAACACCAAAATAATTGTGGGAAAAGACACCTCTTGAGTAGGAGACATTTTGAGTTCAGAAACGCTAATTGCTGGGGTGGTTTTGTTTTTTTTTTCTCCTCTCTGTATTCACAGATATTGAAGTACAGAGCTGGGTTGGATTTTATGCGTGGTGCTTGTCACATTATCAAACAGTTTTGAGGGGAAAAAAAATGGATCGTTGTAGAGTTGGGCTGCAATTCAGCACTGTAACTGTTCCCACCATGTCCCAGTGCAGCTGGAGCTGATTATACCCATGTCAGCCCTCTTTTGCTGTCAAAATTTGTAATTTTAAGCAAGCCTGTGGACTCACACTGTAAATGTGTTTTAGAAAGTGAATCTTCTGCATGCCCACAAGACCATTGTGCCATGCTGGTAGGAAGCTCGGTACTTCCAGCTTTTCAGTGTTGATGGTTGTAATGGGCAGTGGTGGGCTCCAGGGATGCTACGTTGGGGCAAGTCCCAGCTGTGTCCTGGCAAAACCCAGTAATTTCATTTTGAAGCCACAGCTTAATAACGGGGTTTTTTTTTTTGACTCGTTGGTTGAAATCTCTCTTGTTATTGAGAGGAAACGTTTGCCTGCAAAAGGCAGAGTAAGGGAAGGTGCTTCAGAGTAGGAGCTTGCAGGAGGTGGCTGAGGGAGGCTGCGGTGACCTTTCTTGGTGCAGTGGGTATCTGCCGGGTCTGGCTTTTTAACTTCAGCAGGAAAAACATCAAGAGAAGTCGTTAAGGTACCGATGCAGGTATTTAACAAACTTGGGCATTTCAGTGCCTGGTTTAGAAACCCCAGGTGAAGTAACCTGACATTCTTCTGGGAGCGTTCGGGGAAGCCAGCTCCATATGCTGCACTTGCAGAACGATGCCAGCTGTGCAGAGTTGCCCGTTTTCATAAATTATTAACTTAGGAAAAGTTAAAGCATAATTAGATTCTTAGAATCCCTCTCACAGAACCCGAACGCGGGTGCAAGACTGCGGTGGTAGGCAGTGGGGAAGACCAGGGGGTCTGTCTGTGCTTTCAGGTGGCACCTGCCCAGCGGCTGATAGCCCTAGTGAATGGTTGTGCTTCAGGAGGGAAGGATATTTCCAACAGCTACGTGAAAAAGTCAAAACCTGACTTCCTGCAAACATTGCACCCGCATAATAAATTGTTTTAATGGGTTTCCCTTTTAATTTTTAAGTTGCTCAAGAGAAGCCAGAGCAGATCCCACTGGAGAACCGTTCCTGCGTCCTCATACGACGGGATCTAGTTGCTCTCCCCGCCAGTCTCATCAGTCAGATCGGATACCGTTGCCACCCAAAACTCTACTCAGAGGGAGATCCTGGAGAAAAACTTGAGCTTGTTGCAGGTAACGACGGGGTAACTTTTCCTTGCTTGAGAATGCCTGGGGATCGCTGATGTTTTCCTTCTTGAAATGCGGTCTTCGTCTTGCTCGCGCTGTTGCTGGAGTTGTGCATCTCGAGTGCCCTTGCTGTGTCTTTCTGGATTATTCATCACCAATCATCTTTTTAAAAGTTCTACATTTCCTTTAATTTTCTGATAGAAAAATGTGTCATTAACAGGCTTTATTCAATTGAATTAATTTAGCATTTTAATTTAATTCTCCAGCTTGTGTTCTTCCTGATTGGTGTGGGCTGCATCGCAATTGTGTTTTGATTTCGATGCACAGATCTAAAAAAAAAAAAAAAAAAAAAAGAAAAATATCGCATTATAAGATTTGCAAAGCAGTGGAGATAAAATTTGTGTCAGCGAACAAGCTTTGAAAAACCTGGTTTTTTTAGAATTGAGGGTGTTACTAAATGGTCAGATGCTGCAGTAAGAAGGAAGAGAGGGAACTGGGTTTGGTTCTTTCTTCTATCTTTATTTTCATTTTGCGGGGAATTTATAATATTGGGAGAATTCTCTACTTCTCCATAAAGGATTTATGGCCAACTTGAGGTGGAAGATGGTGCTGGTTAGCTTTTAAAGATAGGTGGTATAGGGCTGGATAAAGAGGAATGAAATCCAGTGGCTGTGCCAGCCTGCAGCCCGGGCACCCCAAGTGCAGCACAGAAGATGAGTATTTGACTGGGGTGTCCAGGTCCAATTCCAGTTTAAATAATTATATTCTGCTTTTATGAATTCTCCCAGCTTCACTTTGCTGCAGTGGTCCTCTCAGCTTACAGCCCGTGCTGTTGTGAAGTTTTTTCCCTTGGACGTAGCCATGCTGAGGTGAAGCAGTCTTTGCACGACAGCCCCTACCTGCTGCCCGCAGGAGGAGGTTTCATTAACACCTGTAAAGCCCTTGGTTAAAAAAAAAAAAAAAAAAGGACACGTGGCAGTGCAATCTATCCAAATCAGTTGTCCTTTCTTTCTGGTCATTTCTCTCTTGGTGAGTAGCGTGATTTTATTTTCAGTCTGTAGAAGGAATCTGCATTTCAGGGGATGCCCAGAAAAGTTTCCATCTGACGGGGTCTCTGATGGCAGGCAGGAGTCAAATGCACACGCCACTGCACAGTGTACAACCACAAGCGTTTATTTTGTATCTGGAATATTCATTTTGTAGCCATTTACATTTTATGTGAGACTTCTTAAAACCATCAAGTGGTGCAGGTTATTTTCACAGTGAGAGCTGCAAATTGGCTTGAGGCAGCTCTGCTTGATTTACATTTTTCAATCTGGAAAAAAAAAAAAAAAAAGTAGATTAATATCACTAACCGATAGTGGCTGACTCGGTTATTTTTGATTTATTAAAGTGAAGTTACCCTCGGTAGTGTCTGGTGTTCCCTCTGTTGGCTTATCTTTTAAAATACCACTGCTGAAGAAAGCTGATTCCTGTCTGAAACCTGGTGCGACCTGCGGGGTGCCATACAGGAGGATCCCGCAGCAAAAGTTTTCCTCAGCTCTGCCTTCGGAGTATTTTCCTTTTGTCTCCGGTTTTCCTGCCATGGTTGATCTCCAAACTTCAGCAGCTCCCTCTGAGAGGGTCTTCAACAACCTCGCAGCCGTGGTAGTACGTCTGAAGGACAGATGCTCTGCGTGGAAGAGGATCCGTGGAAGATGCCTGATGAGCAGTGGGATGGCTCAGAGATCCGGAGCGATGCTTGCTCTGCTGGGCTGGGCTGCCCGCGGCAGCAGGGCAGGTGCAGGCAGCTGCCTGCCCCAGGGAGGGGATCGGGCTCGGGGAGGTGGGGGCTGCTCTGCAGCTCTGTCTGCACCCACAAGATCAGGCACAATCATCTGCAGGCTTTCCTGGAAATCCAGGAGGTAATTTTATTTCTCCAGTAGATGTTTTTATGTCTTGAGAACAAAGCGTGTTCTGGATCCAGATACCACCCATTATTTAATCTTAATTAAAAGCAAATAGCAAAGCCCTCTCGTATAACAGCACGTTTGAAAAACAGGATAACCTCCCCCTGCAAGCCGATGCTGAGGCAGGAGCAGTTTGGTCTGTGTGAGCTATGTGCAAAGTAAAAAGGTTTGATAAGAAACCTGCTGTAAAGCACTGCCAAACCCCTGGACGCGTAAAGCTGCTTTGGCAGGGGCTCCTTTTTCTTCTGGAGAGAGCATCCTTAAAGGCGATGTATTTCAAAGTCAGCAGTTCCTGTGCATTAGAAGGAAAATTCCCTGCTCACCAGAAGTATCAAGAGGTGTCGGGCTGGGATTTTTGGAAACGGTTAGATCTGTAGTGTAACTGAGTGCCTTCTCTGTGCTGGATGGGGTTTTTTTTTTCTTTCCAGCTATATATGTTCTACGATCCTTCAGCTGAGAAAAGAAAAGGCCAAATGGATTGGGGTTTTCTTCCTTCAGAAAGAGTAAATATATCTGTAGATATAAAATCACAGAATAAAGTCTTGCACTGTGTATCTTTGCAAAAAAAAAAAAAAAAAAAAAAAAAAAAGAGTCCTTACGTTTCATCTCCATAGACTTCCCTCCTGTACAGATTATTTTGAATTGTGAATTGAAATTGAATTTTGAAAATTATGATTTATTATTACCTGGGACTCGCCAAGGCCCTGAGGGGCTGCAACGACCATCCCTGCTGGGCTTCATTTCGAATTCTCTCTCTCCGACCCTTCCAGGCTCAGGTGTTTACATCACCCGGGGGCAGCTGATGAATTGCCACTTATGTGCCGGTGTCAAACACAAGGTCCTTCTGAGACGTCTTCTGGCCACCTTCTTTGATCGGTATGTGCCCCAGCTCTTTGTGCCTTCCCAAGGGGTTTGGTTGATTTTTCTGGTGTTTTCGCCACGTGTCACGAGCGCTTCACCTTCTGCGCATGCTGCGCTGATTTCTGCGCTTTTTCTCAGTGATGCTTGAACCTGAGCACCAGGTTTGCCGCTTCCTCACCTGAAAGCCGCGTTGAGGGGGTGATCGAACCTGCAGGGAAGAGGACGAGGCTGTCTCCTGGCGGCCCCGCCGTAAGGCTCTTCCTTTGCCTTTCTTGCAGGAACACGCTTGCCAACAGCTGCGGAACTGGAATCCGGTCCTCCACGAGCGATCCCAGCAGGAAGCCCCTGGACAGCAGGGTCCTTAATGCAGTCAAATGTAAGGAGAGAGATTTAACTGCTGCTCAGTTGGAACAGCTGAGAGCAAAGCCCAGACCTAAGCAGGGAAGGCCATTGCTGTGGTGTAATAATGGGAACTAAGTTAGGTGATAGGAAAATTGATTAATTTTTTTATTTTGCATCATTTGGGGGGGGGGGGGGGGGTAATTTTTGGTGGGTTTTGGCAGCATCTTAACATCAAACATTATTGCTACTTGAGTGGTTTGCTATATTTTAAAGCACTAATTTTGCAGTTAATTGTAGGTGCTTTAAGAAGGAATTTGAAATTACATTTTTGGCAATATTCAGAGCTTGATACCACTGAAACAAGCCCTCCCCGTGTGTTGGCTTTTATGTCCCGGGGTCCAGCTCGCTTTTGGTTTCATCCAAGTGCAAGGCTCTGCCAAATCCCCTGGTTTACAGGAGCAGAGCATACAGCTCCAGTCCATCTCCCAGAGGCGTCTGCTGTGCATCTCGGAGGTGCTGGCCCTGCGGTGCCTGCGGGCAGCCGTTTGGGGTGGTGGTCTTCAGCAGTAAATGCGCTCCTGGGAATCAAAAAACTGGCTGCTTCAGCCCTGGGAGCACAGGAGGATCTGCTCTCCACCTCGCTGGTAGCCTGTTAGTCTTAGTCTATGTCCTTAAATATATTTTGTAGACTTTTTTTTCTTCTTAAAAAATACGTAAGATGAGAGCCCTGCTGCAAATAATTAATTGCCTTTCGGAAGATTGCCCAAAGCAACAGGAGCTTTTGTTGTTAACGTCGGAACTGCAGACAGTTCTGCATCGTGCCACGTGGCTCGGCTAGTCGGTCTGTCCTAGCGTCGGCCCGCTGGGCTCTGTCGCAGAGCCGGGGCAGGGTACAAAAGGTTCAGCCGTTTGACACCCTCCCGCTGTCCCGCAGGGAAGATCCCCCTGTGCTTGTGTGATTCCACAGCGCCCTGACTGTGGTCACCACCCTGGGCTGTGCCGGGGTACCTGCTTCACTCTGCGGTTTTGTGCCCAGTGTCTGGTGTTTATACGAGAAAAAGAGAGTTTTGTTACTTCCATCGAGGTAGTTTAATTATTTATGGCAGGCAGCAGAAACAAATGGTTAAAATATTTGGCTCTTGCAGTCAGTGTTGAGTACAAGGAGTGTGCTGTGGGACAAAAGGGATCTGTTGGTGAGGGAGGACCTGGGTGACGCAGGAAACCCTGACGGGTTAGTGCAGGGAAGCCTGTTTACCGTGGACTTGATCTACAGCGAAAAGCAATGTGTTCTCTCACCCACTGGATTCTGGATAGCAAATCTTTATGTAAATAATGCACTGGAAAATGAAACTCTTAAGAAGGATTATTTTTTTTTTTAAATTATTTTTAAGATTTGGAAGTTAAATCTTTTCTCTCCCTAACCATTGCTGTGCTGCTGAACTCCAGGGGCCTTCCAGCCACCCTCGGAGATCTGCAGCACGTGGAGAGGAAGGATAAGACGGCAGATGTCCAAGGCGTAAAGCCAAAATCCCTAAGCTGTGCTGTTGGTGCTTGCCCATAGCTTGTGGTGGTGCTCTCCTGAGACAGCCGCCCTCTTAGCAGCTTCCCCCTGGAGAGTCCTGGGCCTGGACCTTCCAGCCTTGCTCCTTGCTGAAGGTTTGCAAATAACCGTCAGAGGTCGGAAAGGCATCGCTGTGCAGTGACAGTGCCGAGGACGCGCTGTCCTGTGTCGGGGCACAACCTGACTTCTTACTGCCTGAGTTTTACCCCGCACACGAGCTTTAGTGGGGAGATGCTCCCCGTGGCAGTTCCTTGGATGTTGCTGTGTAGCGTCAGGTGCGGGGCCCCCGCGGAGGAGCAGGGCTGCAGCCGAGGTGCCGCTGGGCTTCTGCGGGGCACGTCCCAGCCGATGTGCCGCTGCTGGGACCGTGGAGCAGCCGCACCGGCCAGGTTGGTGGCCCTGCAGTGGCCAGCACAAGGTGTGGGACAGGCAGAGGAGAGTCCTTTGAGCAACCTCCTCTGCTCCGTCGGGAGCAGCTCTGACTGTTCCCAGCCCACTGTGGTTTTAAGAGCTGTTTAGTGGATCTACTGTTGAGGAGTTTGCGTTGGCCTTTTCTGCGCCCATCTCTGCTTTGGGCCATCCCAGCGTGCTCTGGCTCCGGCTGGAGGCTGCAGGCAGGAGCCTGGTACCTCTGGGACTTGCTGGGTTCCAGCCCTTCTCCAACCCCCTTCCCTGTGCTACCCGGGATTTTCATGCCTTCTGGTTTTATCTCTTCTTGATTGTCTCTATCTCGAGCTGAGGAGTCTCGGTCTGAACGTCTCTCCCTGGGAGAGCGCGGGTGAGCCTCCGCTCCATGGCACCTGCCCACACCGAGCCTTGCAGCAGGTCTCTAGGCCGGGGCAGAGGCTGTGATCATGCAGCCGCCTTCCTATTGCTTTCTCTGAATCCTCAGCTCTGTGTATCCCTGTCTTTGCAGTGTATTGTCAGAATTTTGCCCCGAGCTTTAAGGAAAGCGAGATGAATGTTATAGCAGCCGATATGTGCACCAACGCCCGCCGGGTCCGCAAGCGCTGGCTGCCGAAGATTAAGTCCATGCTGCCAGAAGGGATGGAGATGTACCGCACGGTCATGGGCTCCACCACAAACAGTGTCCCCCTGGATCCTGAATTCCAGCCCAACACTGCTCAGGTCTTTGAGCAGCGAATCTATGCAGAAAGGAGGAGCGATTCAGGAACTATAGTAGCCTTGAGAACTAACACAGTGAACGTAGAGCTAAGCAATGGATCCAACCAGTCCTTCGAACAGAGCGAGGATGCCGAGGGGGCTGGCTCTGTGATACAGGAGGCAGCTGCCACAGATGCTATGGCATCGGATACCCAAAGCACTCCGCAACCTTTTGAACAAGGTTCAGGCTCCTCCAGCCGGCCCGAAACTCCCGTGAGAAGACAAGATGGTACTTACGGAGGGACTTTATAAAGAGAGCAAACATTTCATGACCTATAAGGGATCTGTAATACTAAAGCTGCTTGCATGCATTACTAATACAAAACAAAAAATGTGATCAAGCCACTTACCTACTGAACTGCTACTGTTGCCTGAAAAAAATGTGATTTTTATTCTGCTTGTATTTAAAATTTATGAAGGAAATAATCGCATTCGTTATACTGTAAACGACTAGGTCTGTGGCGACCTACTTAAAAAAAAAAAATATTGGGCTCCTTTTTTGATATTCCTGAGGTTAGTCTATAAGATTGTAGCTTTTTCTTATTTTTTTTTCCCTTTTTGTTTTTTTCTTTTTTTTTAATTTGGGAAGCTTTCTGATGTCAGAGGCTCTTCATGATGAATGATGTTAGGGTCTATTTGTTCAGTTCCATGAAACACTGAACATGTAGGTTAGTGATGTGTATCACTACTTGTAAAATCCCTTCCCTGGGCAGATTTATCTTGTGCCAGCTGCTAGATTTCTTGGTAGCAGAAAAACCCCTGAACTATTACGCAGCATTCTGGCCTGAGGTTTGGAGCAAGCCTTAACTGTGAAGTATCAACTGGCTTAAAGAGAGTATATGGTATATAACAAAAATTTTGTCTGTGTAGAGATGTGGAAAGTACAGACACCAGAAGTTAAAAACAAAATTTATGAAGATCAGGCAAATCAGTTTATTGTCAGAAGTTATAATACCATTTTTTGGCAGAGGAACATTATTCACTTCAAAATACCTCTTTTGTTTTGTTTTAGTTTTTTTAACTTAGTAATTGGTTTAAAAGAGTCTTAAAGACTACATGGCCATGCTGTAATGATGTGACTGAACGCTATCTGGAGTAGGAGATGGAAGTCTGGTAGTATTGCTAAAAGAGGAGTTTAATACAAGAGATCCTGAGATATCATGGCTTATTAAGCAAATTCATTAAATTTTAGATAAATATAGTCCTGCTGATGTGTTAATTAAAGTGTTTTCTGTGTATGCGTGAAATCTGGCAGAAATTAAGAATTGATTTATATTCTTTGATGTTGTCCTTAGACCAGCCTTCAGAAAGGTTATTGCTCTGTTACTGTTATTATCATATAATGTTATATAGACTGCATTTGTGTGTTGACTCCCATTTCAAATCATGCTGATAATATCTGTGAAAAATTAATAAAACTGCCATTAAACACTATGTACCTTTTGCTTGAAATCCAAATTAATGAGCAATATATGCGTCTGACTGATTTTGAGAGTAGAGGTCATCTAGCTAGCAGAAAAGGTGATGTGAACTTCTTTCCCTCGCTGCCGAAATGTAGAATATTTCACACAAGCAGATCTACTAATTCACAGAATGCATAAAGAAAATGCTTTGTATATAAGAAAAAAAAAAAAGTACTTCTGAGGAACTGCCTGTCCTTTGTTGTGGTTGATGTTATCTGAGGGAACAGTGGGATGGGAAGAACCTAGCAAATTTTCTTTTTCATTGAAATTTTCCAGTTCGGTACAGCTGATCC